CCACATGCACAACAGTGTCATCTACCCACAACACTAGAACTTTGTCAGTCTCTAATTCCTTTTCTTTTAGGGGCTTAGAATACCTTCTATTAAATGTGTTCCCTACCATGGTTCTCGAACATGTCACCTTGTGCTCTTTCAGTGCTATAGAGACTGATCCTTGTGCCAATACATGTCCCATCTCTTGCTCTTGCTCTTGCTCAACTGATAATATTCCATCGACCAGCGACATCGTGTCCATCACTCCCTGTATCTCCAACTCGAAATTCACCATATTCGTCTCCCCTCCATTAGACCAAGGTCTCACCTCCCGATCTGCTTCAGTCCCCAATTTATTATCCTCCATATCTTTAGCAAGGGCTACTTTTGCTGATAGTTCCATAGGAGTCCAGCGTTCTTCATCCACGCCCATCCCACACTTGTGACAAAGCATCTTGGGAACCGCTACAGACCCACATCTTACAAGCCTAAGTAATTCATCCAACTCACCTTTCAACGACTGGACACAAGCCCTTATTTCGACAGTATTCAATAAGACATCGTCTGAACCTTCTGCATATCTGCCTTAGACTTAGGCATCATACTATTACCTTCATCTTCACTCATAGTAACTACCTTCTCCTTTAACATTAGCACCCTTCGATCAACATTCTGCGAGGCCTGTATGTTCGCCATAACTTCAGCCTAGGTCATCCCTTGTCGACTTCGATCGTTCACCGTTTTACGTTTGGTCTTATCTCCAACAACAAAAGAATCAACTACTGTCTGAAATACCCGCGAGATCGATGCCCATCATTCACCATTCGCACCTTCCGTCAAGTACCTACCACAGTTGTTCACACATCGTTGTGCTAAGAAAGCTCTTGATGACTTATTGAATTTAGAGACGAAATCCTCCAACCTACCAGTCACCCTCAGCTTGTCCACCATATTCACCATCCAAAGTACATCGAACCTTCCCATACAAATTGCGTTCGATATCTTCGAGCCCCATTCAATCATTCTAACAATACCAAGATTGTTAACAAAAATTTCAAACTCCTTCGCCTCCACTCAAA